CACGACCCGCTTTCTGTATCTAAGGGTTAAGTATTGTGATGGTCAGTAATTGAGGTTATCATCGGCCAATCCTTAAACAAATTAATAAACACGAGCGGGAATAATATTTAAGTGAGGGTACCAAAATAATCATTGGAGTTTCTATTTTTATTACAAAATTTATTGACCAAAAAGACCGATATTTACATACAAAAAAATCATAAAAGTGCTGTGTGTGTCTATTCCGCAATCCGACTTTCCAAAAGCTATTTCTGAATTGCATTGTTTCCTAAAAATTGGTAAACAACTAAAGCACATGGCAGAGTGAGAAATATTATACCGAGAGTTTAAGGGACACAAAATAACCATGGATAGTTATATAACTAAAATATTTAAGATAACTTAGTCTGAACAAATAATCATTTAAGTAGCAACACTGAAATTATGTAAATAAATAACCATAACCATGGTACCGAACAGAACGGAACAGAGGTCACAAGAGTGGTAGTCAGAACAGAGATACGGATTCAAGAGGTGGCTCGTATAGATTATAGAGGTGGCTCCCACAATAGTGTAGCACTTATCTTCGCACAGCACTTTACTCCGCACAAAACAGAGGTCAATAGATCTATGATAATACAGGGCCACAAAGTGGTCAAAGAGAGGTTAATGGCTATTTAAGTCATCCAACGCGTGGAACTCCCGTGGTGGTGCTTACAAAACATAATTGTTTATAAGGTTATAATCAAATATTTTTTAAAATTTAAACAAACATATCAATGAGTTTCATTTTAACAAATAGAGTTCAGAAATTAACCCACGTAACTGAAATATTTATAAAAATTAATATGACTAACAAAATACAACTTGTATAAAATAAATTATGATAAGCCAAAACATACGTAAAATATATTATAAATTATAATGACTCAAAATATAATATAACTCACCTTAAAAATAATACCTTATTCTTTCTTTTCACTATCAAAAAACCCTTTCGCCCTCCATTATTTTCTTTCCTTTTTCTTCGATTCTCTCTGCTTTTCTTTTCTTTTTCTCTTCTTTTCCTTTCTTTTTCCTGAGTTGATGGGGGAGGTAAAAGCTTCATTCGGCCAACACGTGGCCAGGTGTGAATCTTCTTACAGATTTGATTAGATTTATATTTATCTTTAATAAATATTTAAGATAATTATACTTTGATTCAGTTTTTTAATATAATTATATAAATAAATTAATTATTAATTAAATTATACTCTATCGTATACTAATAGAAAATTATTTATTTATTTTATTACCGCATCCATTATTATTATCATTATTATTTATTTAATAATATATTATCATATACAACCATAATACTAGTATAAAATTTAAGGGACAACTTAAATTTTCAGATTGTTACAATCTTCCTTCCTTTTAAAAATTTCATCCTCAAAATTTGTCATAGGTATAAGCTATCCACTGCGCACTCTAATAAATATATATTAGATGATTAATCAGATAGAAAATATTACGTAAAAAATTTTTTTATCAAAAACCACTCACTGTCTAATTGTCAAAAATTATTTTGGGCCAAAATGAGAAACAATCGGTAACTTTAAAAACTTTTTTATTGGTTTTATTTCTGAAAAAAAATAAAAAAAATAAAATGAGAACACAATCAAACAAGTGACTGGAAGTGAAATGACAGAATCATATACAGGGGTTAAGGGAATTTGAGATGAACTCCCATTTCTTTTATTTGTGCACTTTCCACCGACGAAAAATAGTTTAAAATTAGTATATTTATAATTTGAACCCACTTTTAAAAAAAATTGATTTTTTTTAATACTGTACTGGAAATTCTATGTATTTAATTATATTATAATTTTGGTGGGTGCTTGAGCCCGACACCCTCCGTTTCTTTTCCTTCTTTTACTATAACAAATATAAATTATATCTAATATCTTTCAAAATTAGACACACAAAAAATATATATATATATAAAATCATATAAAATTATAATATAATTAAATCGATTAACAAAATATAATATTTAGGGACTAGTTACCTGCTATCCTACTTCTTAAATGTACGTGTGTGCTATGCTCCAATGATGATTTATTTATTTATTTTATAGACCATTGCTCGAATATCCTTTGTCACGACCCGCTCCCCGTACCTAAGGGTTAAGTATCATGATGGCTAGTAACTGAAGTTACCTCCGGCCAATCCTTAAACAAATTAATAAACGCGAGCGGAAATAATATCTAAGTGAGGGTATCAAAATAATCATTTGAGTTTCTATTTTTATTACAAAATTTATTGACCAAAAAGGCTGATAGTTATATACAAAAAATATCATAAAAGTGTTGTGTGTGTCTATTCCGCAACCTGACTTTCCAAAAACTATTTCTGAATTGCATTATTTCCTGAAAATTGGTAAACAGCTATAAGCACATGGCAGAGTGAGAAATATTATACCAAGAGTATAAGGGACACAAAATAGCCATGGATAATTATGTAACTAAAATATTTAAGATAACTTAATCTGAACAAATAATCATTTAAGTAGCAACATTGATATTATGTAAATAAATAATCATAACCACGGTACCGAACAGAACGAAACAGAGGTCATAGGAGTGACAGTCAGAACAGAGATACAGATTCAAGAGGTAACTCGTACGGATTATAGAAGTGGCTCCCACAATAATGTAATACTTATCTCCGCACAGTATTTTGCTCCGCACAGAACAGAGGTCAATAGATTCATGACAATAGAGGGCCACAAAGTGGTCAAACAAAGGCCAATGGTTATTTAAATCCCCCAAGTCGTGGGACTCCCGTGGTGGTACTTACAAAACATAATTGTTTATAAGGTTATAGTCAAATATTCTTTAAAATTTAAACAAACGTATCCGTGAGTTTCATTTTAACAAATAGAGTTCAGAAATTAATTCACGTAACTGAAATATTTATAAAAATTAATATAACTTGTATAAAATAAATTATAGTAAGTCAAAACATACGTAAAATATATTATGGTAACTCAAGGTATAATATAACTCACCTTAAAAGTAACACTTTACTCTCTCTTTCCACTTTCAAAGATCCTTTCGACTTCCATTATTTTCTTTCCCTTTTCTTCCTTTCTTTCCCTTCCTTTCTCTCTTGATGGCCAGTAACTGAGGTTACCTCCGGCCAATCCTTAAACAAATTAATAAACGCGAACGGAAAGAATATTTAAGTGAGGGTACCAAAATAATCATCGAAGTTTCTATTTTTATTACAAAATGTATTGACCAAAAATGCCGATATTTACATATAAAAAATATCATAAAAGTGCTGTGTGTGTCTATTCCGTAATCCAACTTTCCAAAAGCTATTTCTGAATTGCATTATTTCCTGAAAATTGGTAAACAGCTATAAGCACATGGCAGAGTGAGAAATATTATACCAAGAGTATAAGGGACACAAAATAACAATGGATAATTGTGTAACTAAAATAATTAAGATAACTTAGTCTGAATAATAATCATTTTAGTAGCAAAACTGAGATTATATAAATAAATAACCATAACCATGGTACCGAGCAAAACAGAACATAAGTCACAAGAGTGACAGTTAGAACAGAGGTACGGATTCAAGAGGTGGCTCGTATGGATTATAGAGGTAGTTCCTACAATAGTGTAGCACTTATCTGAGCACAACACTTTGCTCCGCACAGAACAAATGTCAATAAATCCATGACAACAGAGGGCCACAAAGTGATCAAACAGAGGCCAATAGTTATTTAAATCTTCCAAGGCGTGAGACTCGTGGTGGTACTTACAAAACATAATTGTTTATAAGGTCATAGTCAAATATTCTTTAAAATATAAACATATATATTCATGAGTTTCATTTTAACAGATAGAGTTCAGAAATTAATCTACGTAATTGAAATATTAATAAAACATAACTTGTATTAATATAATTAAAAAAACACAATTTATATAAAATAAATATGATAATTCAAAATATATGTAAAATATATTATGGTGACTCAAGGTATAATATAACTCACCTTAAAAATAATACATTACTCTTTCTTTCTACTACCAAAGACCTTTTTGACTTTTCCTTTTCTTCCTTTCTCTCCCTTCCTGTCTCTCTTTTTTTCCTTTCTTTTTCCTGAGTTGATCAACTCTTTCTCTTTGTACGGAGGTAAAAGCTTCATTCGGCCAACACGTGGCCAGGCATGAATTTCTCACAGATTAGATTTATACTTATTTTTAATAAATATTTAAAATAATTATACTTTGACTTAATTTTCTAATATAATTACATAAATAAATTAATCCCTAATTAAATTAAACTCTACCGTATACTAACAGAAAATTAATTATTTATTTTACTACTATACTCATTATTATTATTATTATTATTATTATTATTATTATTATTATTTATTTGATAATATATTATCACAAACAACCATAATACTAGTACAAAATTTAAGGGACAATTTAAATTTTTGGGTTGTTATAATTTTTTAGAAATAATGTTATATGTACCAATTAGTGTATCAATTAATGATGTGACATAATTTAACATATTTTTGGTATTTATAATTTGTATAACAAGTGGAGTCAATAATAATGTCATAATTTGTATTGATACATTAATTAGTATATCAATTAGTACATATAACACCACCGATATTTTAATAAAGAGCTTAACTCATATGTGTTAGACGTGTCAGTTTTTTTTTTTTCAAATGTATTTTTCTAAATATCATAATATTTTAAATAATAAGTTTAGTGAATCTCTCCAATTTATCAAAAAATTTACCACTGCCTTGATAACCTAAATAACTTGAGTACTACTTATTTCTTATTTTATTATTATTATTTGTTTTTTTTGTAAAAAGTACTACTTATTTCAATTATCAACATGCGTGACACATTTGATCCAAAAAAAGTAAAAAACGTGTGACACATGATTCGTGTTCGTCCCCACTGGTTGGTGCTGTGTAGAGCATTGTCCTTCTGTATAAGCTCTGCAAAGTGTAGCTCTTTTTAATGTCATAAAAACATGCTAATGACACCAACGAGAGAGATGAGTTCTCAGGCAAAACAACAAACGCATAACCCATGTCCTCCTCATGCGGTGTGCATACCATACCCAGCACAAGGCCACATCAACCCAATGCTGAAACTAGCAAAGCTCCTCCACCACAAGGGCTTCCACATCACCTTCATCAACACTGAATTCAACCACTGCCGCCTCCTCAAATCCCAGGGCCCCCACTCCATCTCCGGCACCCCCTCCTTCCGCTTCGAAACCATCCCCGACGGCCTCCCTCCCTCCGAGTTCGACGCCACTCAGGACATCCCGGCACTCTGCCACTCCATTTTGCACAACTTTTTAAATCCCTTCAGAGTCCTACTCGCCAAACTCAACCCTCCGGTGACTTGCATAGTTTCAGATGTTGGAATGGGGTTCACTGTGAAAGTGGCTGAAGAACTGGGCATACCTGATGTTTTTATCAACACTGCAAGTGCTAGTGGCTTCATGGGCTATATGCAATATCCCAAACTCATGGAAAATGGTCTTACTCCACTCAAAGGTACTTACTTTTTTTTAATTTTTAATTTCTTATAAATACATAAATTTCTCACCTAGGTCTTTGTCTCTAGTGTAAGAAATTTATTTCTGTATATAGTGTTGTGCATAAGGTTATGTATATCGTTTTTTTATTATATTTATTTTATTGCTAATAAATACTTTTTTGAAAATGCAAACAAGATTTACTCTTTGAAACAAATTTAATCCCAAAAATATACTAATTCGTCATTAAATATTTAATTTTATTTCATCTCTAAATTTTTAACTCTAAAACATATTTGGGAACGCCCAAATAAGCAAACTCTTCTTTTGAATTTTTTTTTTAATCTTTAATGACCTTTTAAAAAAAAAAATTGTATCAAATTTTTTATTTTTTTATTTTTTAACTTTTTCAGTTTGTCATGTGTCGAATTTAAAAAGAAATTTAAAAAAAAATTAAAAATTGAAAAAGCTAAAATAAATCAAAAAAGTCCAATATCTTTTGCTTTATTTTTGTCTTGATTTTTTTTTTTTTGAAAATTTAAATTTTTGTAAAATTTTTCAGTTGATCTCGTGGATATGAATCTAAAAGTCTGAATCTTTTTCAACTCTTTTTACAAAAATGACTAAAAATGAAAATAAATCAACCAAAAACTTGCACATGGTATGTGGCTATCAATTTTATGAATAGTATTTTTCCAATTATAAATCAGTTTGTTTGGTTGTGAAACACATAATTCACTTTCAATAAATCAGTTTGTTTGGTTGTGAAACTCATAATTCACTTTTAAAAAATTAAATTTTTTTGTTTTTACTGATTTTTTTTAATATTTTAATTTTTTTAAAATTTTTAGATACACCTAACATAAATATACTTAAAAAGTATAATATTAATAAAAAAATCTTTAGAAAATTCTCTAAATATCAAAAATACAAAAAAAAATACAAAAAATCTGTACATTTTTCGTATTCATGTGTATTTATTTATTTTTTAAAAATATTTTTTTAAAAATATTTTAATTTTTAAATATATCTAAGTAAGGTGCATTTAAAAAAGTAAAAAAAATAATTTAAAATTTTAAAAATATTCACTAAAAATATAAAAAATACAAAAAATTAAAAATTTAATTATAAAAAAATTAAAACCAAATAGACTGAATGTTTTTTTTCTTGAAAGTCCAGATACAAGTTATTTAACCAATGGTTATCTAGACACTGTGATAGACTGGATACCAGGCATGTATGGCATACGATTGAAAGATCTCCCAAGTTTCGTTAGAACCACCCAACCAAACGACATCATGATCGATTTCATTTTGGACGTAGCTCACAATGCTCGCAAAGCTTCAGCCATCATTTTCAACACCTTCGACGCCTTGGAGCATGATGTTTTGGAAGGACTATCTACAATGCTCCCACCCATATACACTCTTAGTCCTCTTCAGTCACTCCTTAACCAAATCCCACAAAATCACTTAAACACCATTGGATCAAGCCTCTGGAAAGAACAACATGACTGTCTTTCATGGCTTGATTCAAAAGAACCCAACTCTGTCGTTTACGTAAACTTTGGCAGCGTAACTGTGATGACATCGCAACTGTTGATTGAATTCGCTTGGGGACTTGTTAATAGCAAGAAAACATTCTTGTGGGTAATTAGACCTGATTTGGTTGTTGGTGACTCGGCAATTCTTCCACCTGATTTTGTGAATGAGACTAAAGAAAGGGGTCTATTGGCTAGTTGGTGTCCTCAAGAACAAGTCCTGAGTCACCCATCAGTTGGAGGGTTCTTGACACACTGTGGATGGAATTCAACTCTTGAAAGTATTTGCAGTGGAGTCCCTATGTTGTGTTGGCCTTTTTTTGCAGAGCAACAGACAAACTGTTGGCTCTGTTGCAAAGAGTGGGGTATAGGGATGGAGATAAACAGTGATGTAAAGAGAGAGGAGGTTGAGAGCTTGATTACAGAGTTGATGGGTGGAGAGAAAGGGAAGGAGATGAAGAGAAAAGTGATGGATTGGAAGAAGTTGGGTGAAGAGGCCACGGCTTCTTCTGTTGGACCATCTTACTTGGATTTTGAGAAACTGGTTAACTGTGTGCTTAAGTCTTCAAAGTAGTAAAAAAAGGAATTGGAAGCAGTTTGCAAACAATGCATCAGAAAGGCTAGAGCTAACACGAAGTTCAGAATTTCACCTCCCTCTCTCTGTCTAAAAACCTCCCTCCCTCTCTCTCTCTAAAAACCTCCACCCCCGGCCTTTTTGGCCGGCCGACTGCCGCCTTTGGCTATGACGGTCGGCTGGCCCAGCTCTCTTTTGTGTTTGTGTGTTGGTTTTTGCTTTTAATGAACTTGATTCCCACAATGTCTTTCCTCTTTGTTGTCCTTTTTTGTTTCTTTAGGGGGTGCTTGGGATTGTTTTGTTTTGTTTCATCAGGAGTTATATGTTTTAGACTTCACCAGTCAGGAGACCTTTTTTCTCTCTCTAAAAAGCTCCTTTCCAGGCCTCATTTTGGACTGGTCGGCCGCCGCCATAGCCAAAGGATGTTCACAGGGGTGTTTCGGTGAACGTTATGGATGTTCATTGGGTCGGCAAAGAGGATGATTCAGGGGTATTTTTGTACTTTCCGAATCTCTCTCGATGCATGTCGTCTTCCTGTACCTTTAATTTCATGTTTTTAATAAAAAATTTCTTTGCTGATCAAAAAGTTTTCAAAGTAGGATTCAGCCAAAAAAAATGTCTTTAATATAGTTCGTGATGGGGATAAACAAACTTTTTTTTTTTTTTTTAAATTTGATTTTTGATTTTTTGTTCTTTGTTATTTCATATTATCATGTGAAATAATTTAATTATTGGAGGATCGGGGAAGAATTTGAATGCAATAATTGATTAATCAATATATATTTATAAAAATCACTTTGCTCGTACATATGAGGTAAGAAAAACTGGAAAGTTAACTTTGAAACTAGAATTTCAAATTATTTGCTAAATGCAATATTAATTGGTAAGAAAAACTGGAAAGTTAACTTTGAAACTAGAATTTCAAATTATTTGCTAAATGCAATATTAATTGTAGACATTCTTGAAATAAGGAAGCATAGTCTGATTGCAACTTAGTTGCAAATTTCCAGAAAGTTGATATTGCTCCAGGTTAAAATAAAGAAAAAAAAATTAATTCTCATAAATTTAGCCAATAATCGGGACTAGAAAACAGATCAAAGAAATAAAAAATAATCAACGTTGTGTCTTGCGTTAGAAAAATGGTTTTACAACTATAAAATAGCAATCGTTCACAACAAAACCACATAACAAGATTTGATCATTTTCTATAACCACCCTCGTCAACCAAATTAAACACCCATCTCATGCAGGCAACAATTTCTATCACTAATAACAAAGCTTGAACCCTATTTGATTTCATTTCCTTTGTTTTGTGGCCGGTGGTGGGGGAAACAAATTTTGGTGGTCCATGAGCACCATTTGACATGCCTCTCACCAATTACCGATCATCAGACTTCCTGCTATTTTCTTATAATTTAATATAAAATCGTAAATTTCACTTTTTTTTATCAATCGTAACACTCTTGAAACATTACGTGGCTATATTGTTTAACCACCAAATAGCTACTTGGTAGTAGGCCATGTTGTTCTTGTTTAAGGGGCAGTGCCAAACATTTCTCAAAGGGTTTGATTTCTTTCATATTGGGACTAACTTGAGAGAGTATTTGGGTTTAGTAAACTCATTGTGAGCCAAATCTCGGTTATCTGAAGTGTTCGCTTTTTATGACTTGTTGAGAAGAATATTTATGTAAAAAATCAAGATAATTGTGTTTTGATAATTATATGTTTGAATCACATTTGACTTAAATAAATGGACGGTAAATATAATTTCAAGAATAACCGTCCAATTTTAAAGACAAATGTGATCAAATATATAGCTACCGAAATTTAATTATCTTAATTTTTTACATAAATATTCTTTTCAATGAGTTTTAAAAAGGAAACAGTTCGGATCACTAAGATTTAGCTCACAATGGGCCTATTAATGCCAAATACTCTCTCAAGTTGGATTTTCAACATGAGAGAAGCCAATTCCTTTCTGAAAAATAATATATATTTTAAGAGTTACCTTGTAATCTTAATAAATATACTAACATTTATTAAGATTTAATAAAATTATTGTAAGTCCTACAATTTTAATATAATTAGACATATCCTCTCGTGAATGTTAAATTTGTATTGCAAAATCACCCATGCTGTTACCGTACCATTCGAAAGCTAACAAAATTTATGATTTTATGGAATTTTTTTTATATCAAATTTATCATTTTATTTAACATTATATTAAATTTATGATAAACTAATGAAAATTCTATTAACTACGTCCATGGTGTTGGGTCTTACACATTGCGGAGTCCACCATCATTTCAATAATTGTCAAAATTATGGATAATTTATTATGTGTTTCAATTTTTACCATATCTAAGAGCATGTTTAATTACCTCAATAACATTTAAATTTTATTATTTTAATTTTAAAATTAGATTATTAAATTATCTTGCAAAAAACATAACATCTTCATACGAAATGAAACGCAATTGATTGAATTGGAATTTTTTGAGTTATAATAAGCATAAAAGATTGTCATGTAGGCCTTTTTTGGGAAGTGAGTTATAATCCACTTCTCAGATTATAACTCACTTCCTCTCTCACAAAAAAATTATTTATAAACAGCTTATAAGTAACATTTAATTAAAAAATTGATTACCATCATCAACTCAAAATAACTCGGAATGTTGTCCTCTAAAGTATTGAAATGGCGAGATTGAGAATTATTTGATTGGTAAAACTTTGAAAAAAATCAATGTTAGAATTGGTCAATTCATAGTACAACGATGTCAACATTTTACCCAATGGTTGTTCAACCTGGAAGGCGTGCGCTTTGGAAAAAAACAAAGCGTCAAAAATGTTACAATTTACAAACAAATCAATATGCCAAAGGGTTTGAAATTGAGAGGAAGCCGCCGTTGGGCATGAGATTTTTTCAAGGTTGGAATTAATTTAATTATAAAAAGATAAAATATTATATTTAAATTATAATTATTTAATTTTTTGTCTTATAAAAATTAAATAAAAAATAAAAAAACTCAAATGCAAATGCAATCGTGGCTAAAAAAAAAAAAAAAAAAGGGAAATTCGAGCCAAATTTGAGCCAAAAATTTGAGGCCTCAATCTTTTTTCCAAATTAAAATGGTTAAAAAATTAAAAAATTAAAATGTGAACTTACTTCTCAAACCAACCTTGATGAGATTGTCTTGACTGTTTCAATTGAACATCACTTCAATCATGTTGGGACATTTTTGTTGGCAATCGTTGATCATGATGAGTGAGTGTTAACTACGGCATTAAGCTTTGAAAGCAATTCGTTGGACATCACTTCAATCGTTGATCATGATGTGTTGAGTGTTGGACCAGGGAATTAAGCTTTGAAAGCAATTCGTTGGATTCTGTTTTCCAATTCCAATTGCAAAAAGAAAGCCCCAAGGTAAACAAAAGGTTTTGGGGGAAGTAAAGGCCATGCTATATCCAACAAGGTCAAAAGAGAATCTCCCAGCGCTGTAATCATAACCCCAGCAGCAGTCAAACTACTGAAAGAATTACCTGAAATAAGATACAGATGCAAACAGCCATATTAATTTAAAAAATAATAAAATAAAATAAAACAGAAAAAGCAGGAAAATTATCTATTTATGTTATGTTTGATTGGGAGATTAAGAAAGAGAAAGAGAAAAAATATATGAAACTAAGTGAAATGCAAATATATTTTATTCACATTTCACCTACTTTTTTTTATTTATTTTTTTCAAATCTCTCCTTAAATTTCCTAATCAAATACAACATTAAAGTTTTGGCTTTTTATAATTGGCAACAAATTCACAGAAGACAATTTTGGGTCAGCTCAGCTACTGATTTACAAGCTCAAAGTACAAACCTTGAGTCCATGAGAGACCACTTTTGAGAACCAACAACGGCACTCCTCACCATTGCTAAGAGGCTCCAAAAAACACATATCAAACACTCATTCCCCTCTCTCCTCCACTCATCACTTACTCAACCACCACTTCCATCTTCATCCTCTTCACATCAAACACACCACTTCTCTCAGACATTTTATCAAAATGTCTTTACCATTTTGTGAAAATCCCTTTCAAAGTAGTCATTGCAAAGTGTGCCAGTTACAAGGTCCCATTATTCAAATGAAAGCTAGAAAATTAAAATTTCAATTAGAAGACAATTCGAGCCACTATTGCCACTGCTACAACTAATTAAGGGTCCGTGATATCCAGACTTTCTGAATCCATTTGACGAATTTAATCTGAAATTACGTCGGGTTGGTTGAAGAATTTGTGAAAGAATTTGAAAAGGAAAAATGAAAGAGAAAATGTAGGTAATAAAATATATTTACATTTCATCTAGTTGTACACACTTTTTTCTTATCCCTTTCTAAATTCCTTCTTAAATCTCTTGACCTAACACAGTTAAGGGTTTGAAATTGAGACTAAAGATATGAGATTGTTTTGGCTTTTTCAATTGAACCATTCTGTTAAATTCTTCATTTGAATGTTCTTTTTCATGAATCTTTCAAACAGATCATTAATATAAAAAAATTAAAGCATTTACACACAAATCTTAATTTATAAACTGAGAGGGAGTTTTTATGTGCATTTAGGGCCGAGCTAGGCCTAGATATTGTAGTGGACCGATCTATGGGCCGTAGTGAAAAGGACTTAGCAATTGGACCTTGCTTCTGTTAGCTCGGTCTAAGTATGGTCACAGTTACCTCGGTCGGAGTGGTAATAATTAGCTCGGTCATAGTGTTCAGATCCGAGGCATAGTTGAATAATGACCGAGCTAAGCATCGCTTGGGGGACGCACCGAGCTGAGTTTGTCTGAGGGCTAGGGGTAGCTCGGTCGTTTGATCATATTGCTGCAGTAAAGCCATCTCACTTGATTAGGCAGTGAGGGAGGTGTAGAAAGATGAGCATTACCTTTTTGATTCCTAGGAGGACTCTACATTGAAGTAAAAGAGTCCTACTAGGATTGTGCCACGCGGGATCTATAAAAGCTCATAACAGGACCTATGTACAGGTATCACACCTTTGATTCTCGAATACACAGAGCTTTTGTCTATTTGTCTATTTTGCTAACTTAGGTATCGGAGAGGTATCCGGCACACACCCGCCGGCTAGCTCACGTTTGTATTTTTACGGAGTAAAGCGACGATGTTTGGAGAAAGCGCAAACTTGATCAATAGGATTATACGAGAAGATTATTTCGTGCTCGTACAATTGGCGCCGTCTGTGGGAATTGCACAGAGAACAATACCTTTTGATCAAGTTTCCTTCTCTAGTTGAAAACAATGGCGCATAACGAAGACTTGCCGCAATCTACTATTGATGGGCAAACCCCAAAGGGGGGGTGCAAGGCACGAAGGTCTACCCTCTGTCCCACCCATGGCAGAATTAGAACCCCAGCGACGGAACTCCCGGAGGGACACAAGGAAGAGATGGGGTACTAGTCCCCGTCGCTCTCAAAGTCTGGATAGACAGAGGCGGAGGTTGGATCCTCAAGTCTTGGAGGATCGCGTAAGGAAGCAAGACGAGTTAATAAGGAGAATGGCGGCGGACATGGAGACAATGAAGTGCC